CAAATTAACATAGTCCAACTTTAAAATATACAAATAACAAGTTGTTTAATAAGATCAATTAGAGAATGCATACAAATTACCAAAAAGTAAATAATAACACTAAAACAACGATAATCCCATCTGATTGATTCGGTTGCTTCAAGCCTTCAAATTTATATAAAAAATGAAATATAAATTAGAAGTTATACCGATAAAATATTTTAAAATATTGATAATATTTACCAACTAAAATAAATTGTCAAATACAAATACTAAAAAGTAAATATTACTAGTAAAATTTCGTTGATTCATATTAATAATTCATTTGCTTCAAACCTTCAAGTCTACATAAAAATGAAATATAAATTAGAAGTTATAAAAATAAAATATTTTTAAGTATTGATAGTATTTACCAACCATTTAAATTAATCATTCATTGCTTGACTTATCACATCAAGAAACTCTAAAACCTTATTCTCCAATCAAGCAAACAGTTTTCAATAAGTTTTCCACCATATCATCTTATGCAATTTTTATCAATAAATTGTGCTGTGACTACCATGTAATTGATTTTTTGAATTGATGTCCAAAGATCGTTTGATTTCCTACAAGTGTACGGCATCGCAAACAAGTAATAAGTGATAACTAAAATATCATTCTCACGAGGGCCATGTATTCAATATAGGATCAATCTATTTTAACTCTAATAGAATAGCAAATTGTGTTTGAAGAGTTTATACTAAATTAACTAATTAAACTAATGATTCTATTGAGCAATTTATGGACCATTTGTAAATTAAGATGAGATATTACAAAGACTTTAAATCCCCCTTATTAATCCATCTTTAATGCAAATCAATATTAAGACGATATGTATACATTATTGCTGATCAATGTTCCTAAATTAATTAAAAGTATCTTTCGATGTCAATTAAATATATTCACTCATGTGACCTTCTTATATCTCTATGAAATATGCGAACATGAAAGCATGTATTAAAAAAAACTAGAACGTATATAAAAATTATACAAAGTATAACAGTATATCTTTATCCCCTATTGAGCTTTACAATGGTTATTATAAATGTTATCTATTTTATTGTTTCTCTCGAAATCAATAAAATTCACTAATCAATCCAATTGGTGATCAATCAATTGAAAGTATTAAATACAATAACAACCATTCAAGAACTCATGCATATTGGATGTCAAAATATTTAATTTATATTAAAAACTTTATAATAAGGGTTCATCTACATCTTAGTAATTGATAATTTACCCTAGCATTGCCAAATTACTAGAAAACATGTTCAATTGGAAAAATATCACCCCGAATTTTTGATAAATTGAAAAGATAAAGAAGAGTCTTTAAATCTTGAATTTCTTCAACGGTTTCTTGATGAATCTCCACTTACGTCTTCTCTTATTTACCCAAAAATCAAAATTTAATCCTCAATTGTATGAATTCTTGCAATTGCTCTTCAATCATCTCACAAAATTATGAAATTCGTCCCTCTTGACTGTAAGAATTGATGTATATTGGAGTAAAAGATATATATGAGAGGTGTCTGATATTGGATACCCATGTTTTTTGTTTATAGAGGTGAAATTAGGTCAATAATCGTGTAAGAAAGTGGGTTTCATGTAAAATTTTGAAAGAAAAAAAAAAACAGCCCAATTTTACCAAATTTGGCCTGGGTTGTTGCCCAAGCAAAGTTTTAAGCTTCTATTTTTGAAATTTGAAGCAGGCAGTCGCCCAATTATACAAGCTTTCAAAATCTGCATTTTGGTCTCTGAATTCGATTCTTGATTCTTTTAAGTAATTTCGATCATTTAACTTTTAATTGCATCCAATTAAACCTTTAACATCTTCAATCTTCGTTTTTTCGTCCGAAATGATTATTAGATGTTTATATTTTAGTCCTCATACTTTGGATTTCATCATTTTTCGCCAATTTTCACTTTTTTTCTTTCAATTTCTCTTCCATTCATCGAGTTTTACCTAGTAGATGAAATATAAACTAAATTAGGTTATAATTGCTCAAAAGAACTATTAAATGTCTATATTTTTATGTCTAAATAATTGTATAAAATACACTTATCATCCAACGACTAATAGTTAAAGAAATCATTTTCCTATCATTAATAAATTTAATCTTCAACGACTCTTTTGTTTCATAGTAGAGATGAAGCATATCTCTAGCAATTATTCTAGAGAATAAATTTAATACTGCACCAGGGAATGCAAGGAAGTTATTGTCAAACTACACAGAGAGAAAATGAGATAGGAAAAATAATATTTTTGGACTCAATTAATTACTTGACAAATTTATTTTAAAAAAATAAAATAATTTGGTTTGTATAATAAGAACAAATTAAAAAAAATTAGGAAGATTTTGTTCTTATTCGATTATTCAATTCTTGGTCTAAAATCGAGAATCAAATTAAACATATCGATTCTTGATTCCGATACCTATTTGGATATTTTGACTTAAGACGAATCAAACCGAATTATTTGATTCGGTTCGGTTCAGGAATTTTGTCTAATCCTACTAATAGTCAATAGCTTCATTAGAGAGGCTCAATAACCCAAGCGGATTTCCAACTTAGTATTGGTGATGAAGCACAATGACAAGAAGAGAGTATGTATACCTTATCCAATTTGAATAATCAAGCATTTCTCAATGACAGCTTCCACTTGCTGATGATCAACCAACTGGTTGATGCTACCACAGGACATGAGCTATTAAGTTTCATGGATGTATATTCCAACTACAACCATCTTTCCATGCACTCTCAACAATAGCAGGTTATCCAATTATGTATATCATAGATCCAGATCCACGTGACATTTAACGTAGTATTTCTCACAATATTATAACAAACATTCTCGTGGACATGTCATTCTTCATAACGTTGTATTTTATGTATTTTACGGAAATACAATACAGTTCTTTGCATCCCATTCTATGCAATTTGTTAATCATTCTCGGTCCTTCGACCTTCGTACCTGTAATATTTTCAGGACTTAAACGTGCTACATATTACTAAAAGTTTCGATCTGGTTATTGAGTTGAAATATATCGCTGATGGCAACACAAAAAATTCAAAATGGGCAAATGTCACATCAAATAAAAGTTTTTCAACCTTTTAAAAAGTGTCTTGTGAACGTACATGCACTCCATTGGAGTAGCAGTCCCAATACATCATCCAATCATGCTACTCGTAGAGGTGAGGGTTCACGGGGCGGGTTTTTTTTTCATTTTTTATTTCGATGAATCCCACACATTGTGAGAGTTGGTAAAATTTATGTCAACCATTTCTCTGTACAAATGGTTTATTACTATATCATCACCACAACTTGTTGAAAATTACTAAGCCCCTGTTTGGACGATATTCTTCGAAAATAAAAATTAATAATTCGACTGTTATACGGTGAGCAGGACCCACTTTGACAGCCATGTGTTGACTGTGTTATCTGCAGTCAAAAAATTTGGTGAAAAGACCATAATGCTCATAACTTGTTGCATTCAATTTTCATAAATTGGACAATTTTGACATTTCAAACTAAAAAAAGATGGCTACCATTCATTTTTCAAATATTGCGTCTCGATCACTATTCACCTTACTATTGCAACATTTATATTTTTCATTCAAATGTTGGAAGTAAATGGTCAAAATTCATACGAAAGGGAATTTACTAACAATTTTAAAAATAAAACATGTTCCTCGTGTTCATTTGTACCAACAATAAATTAAAAAATATTATTATTATTATTATTATTTTTGTAGAAATTATTATGATATTATAATTTCAGAAATTCCAGAAAAGGGGACCCCAATCATCGTGCACCACGAGTGTGGTGAGTTCTAGCAAGTTTTGCTAAATGACAGCAACTCCATTATATCCTCAAAAAATGACACTCATCTATCAAGTTTCGAAAATACATTAAAGATACAAGGAAATAAATCCTTGGTATAGATTAAAATTAAATTTTTAATAAATTTAGATAAAAATTGATGAAATCTATATTTGAAGAATTAAGGATCCCATTAAAAATGTGATTAAAATTAATTGTTAACTTTAATTTAAATTTTAATTCAAAATTTTAGCTGAATCGAAGAAGGGTATGTTATTCACAAGTGCATTTTCATTATATACCAACGTTTGATAATGAATAATATTATTCATATTTGAATTTCTAATGGAAAAGTACCTTTGTATATCTTTAACTTACCTACAAATTATAAATAAGAGCAATAAAAATAGTGATAATTCTCGTCGAGATTATTGTCAGTAATGGTAATTTTTTATAATTTTAAAATCATCATCGAACAATCGTGATATACTATATTTGGCACTAATTAATTATTTTTGTCAATAAACTTTTACTTATATATTATTTTACAAATAAGAATATGAAGTCATAATTCATTACTAACCACAAAATTTAAATTAAAAGAAAATAAAAAACATATCACAATCATTCAATTATGTACACCAAATTATCACAGCAAAATAAGAAGACAGTCCTTCCATCCATTATCTGCTAGGAAAACACTACTTGTACATAATTTGGATTATCTAAGGGTGTCTACCCTCTCACATCTGGTGGACCCCACATAAATTAATTTTTTTTATTCATGTGGGGTCCACCCCATGTGAGAGGGTGGACATCCTTAGATAACTCAAATTATGTACATGTAGCATATCTCTATTTGCTATTGGCCAAACCCATCAATCCAAAAAAAAAAAGAGGGCAACAAGGTATAAGCGTCACCTTGACGTATAGTATTTTCCAAAAAATACTATTCAAAACTCTATTTCTTCTTTCAAAATGGACGACAAACAAACACAAAATAATTTCCAATAAGGTTGAAATAGAAAATGATAAGAGTGGGAACCTTTCCTCATTGTCATATATATAAATAAAAAACTATAATCATGTAATGTGAATGAATAATGTCACAACTACATTTGATAGTGGAGATCCCAAACCCCAATTTCTACAAATAGAAGCATGTCTTTGTTGACTGGTTTCCCAATTCAAAACTTGTTGGCTCTGGCTGCCTCCACTTCTACAAAGAGGCTCTGCATTTCTCCTGCTTCACTCAAAGTCCTCCTCGTTAATCGATCCGCCCCCGCCGGAAGAAACCCTTTTGCCCTCCGTGTGTCGGGCTCCTATTCGTCTGTCGCTTCCCCCTCCACCGCCATGGGTGACGCTGCCGCTGATTCCGGTATGGATGCTGTTCAGAGACGCCTTATGTTCGAAGACGAGTGAGTGACAGATCCTCTACAGACCCTTGTTAATTAAACATAGATGCATGCAAATAGACACTCATTCGTAATCGTACATAAACATGTATTTATGTGCTGATATTCAGGGGTTTTATTGATGGGGTTGTGATTCATGTGTTTATGGATAATGATCATCTGGGTTTTTGGATGAAATGGAATTTCGGAACTATGCTCTTCTTCTGTTTTTTGTTCATTAAAGATTTTTTTTTTTTTTTGAGTTTTTTTGTGGAAAAAAATCAACAGTTATTTTTTCAGATGTTGCAATCGTCCTTTCTTGAAATCATATTATTTCCTATTTTTTTGGAAATTTTTTGGCAAAAATTCTTATGTGGTTTTAGGTTCGGGCCTGATATGGTAAGAGTGGTTTTACTCTCTTTCTAGACACAGAGACACACCACAGGCATAGAGATAGATACAGACATTGCTCCCCCTTTAATTTTTTTTTTTTTAAACATCAGATTGAAGATTTATAGATCTTCAGCTGTCATGTTAATTGATTACAGTTCTTTCACTTTTGATCACTCTGCAGGTGTATTTTGGTGGATGAGAATGATAATGTCGTCGGTCATGATACCAAATACAATTGTAAGTTGAGATTTTCATATTCAACAATAATTTATGCGATTATGTAGATTTGATCATATGAACTATTTATATCAGTTTCTGATATGAGATCTTACTTTATTCACTCTAATAAAAAATCAATTTTTAACCATGCCAATTAGGATCCTATTTTGGTCTGATAACTCCTTTTATTAGATTCTGGAATTGGAATGCCCAGAATCAGGAACCGTATAATTTATTTTAGTAAGATATTGACCATACATGATTATCTATCTGTGTCTTAATCAATTCTTTTCATTGGATCATGATTGCCGACACTTTTGGTTCCTGGATTTGTTCAGTGGTAAGGGGAAAAAAAACAGTCAAATTCGAATTCCCACGTTTCCCCTCATATTAAATTGAAAAGAGAATCTAGAGCTTTCCCAATATAATTGAGCATAATGAAACTGGAGAGACAAACGACTTGTCAAATTTTTAAATTAAATTTCTCTAGCTTTTGTATGTCTCCCCAATTCTTTGCATTTTCCTCCAGATCAAAAGAAAAGGAAAAAACAGAGAAGGTTTTTGTTGTTGTTCTTTCCTTCACCGTCCTGAAATACAGTATCTAACAAAAGCCTTTGAAATATTTTATCAAAAGTCGTGCTTCAAACTTTATAACTTTTGCTTGCGTACTGGGTTATGCTAGCATTTGATATTGTATTAACATTGAGGGTTTGGTTTTGATTTTCTTTTTTAATTTTTTTTTAATGTTTCAAACTACCGATTAGTTGTAATTTCGGAGGAGACGTGGTTGAACAAATCCCAAGTTGACAGTTTTACATATGCATGATATTTAATTTTATTAGGCATAGAGGTGACCTAAAAGGTTTACACTAATAAATGAAGGATTCTTAGCCCTGTTTGGCCCCCATTTCTTAAAACTCATTTTTTTTCCAAAACTCATTTTTGACTACGCATTTAGTGGGACCCTTAACGTTTTTCAACTTTTCAAGTACTCATTTTCACCAACTTTTATTGAAATCTACTAAAAATTTAGTTTTATCCAAACCAAACAGGGGCTTAGTTTCTAAGGATAAAAAAGGGAAAATTATATGACATTAATAGCATGCGGTTACAACATTCATTTAAAATAGTGTCAGATCTTCATCACTTGAACGTTTCAGATACTCCCCTGGATCTTATTTTTGTTTGCTTGTGGTCAGTAAAATAACATTATATGGTAAATGATATATTTTACTACAGATAAAGATAGGGGAATCAAATATCTATGAGTTGAAATATTTTCCTCTTCTTGATAGAAAACCCAAGAAAAGATTTGGACAGCGATGTTTGCAACACTTCTGATGTCATAAAATTCCTTATCTGTCATTGTAGATGATGTGGCCATTTGATATTAATAAATAGATGTACCCATGATCTGACAATAGTGCTTTTTATATGAGTAGCTCAGACATCTTGAGAATATGATGGAAATTGGGTTTTATCAGTGTCACTAATAGAATAGGTTAAATATTTGTACTCTTTGTTGACTTCCCAAATGGAGCTTCGGGTTAATGTTGGATTCTGTCTCACATTTTCTTTCATGTTACTCAGTGTTATCACTGAGTCAAAGTTTTGTCATCGGTTATTCCCGAACTGACAGTTGACAGTGCTAGCCTTCTAGGCTACAGTTTTATTTTTCTATACTTTCTAAGTGACATTGTAACTGGATATTGTGTTTCCTTGAATTGTTTTCTTTTAGGCTTTTGTTGCCACAGGCTATGTGGGACCTCTACTTTCTTCTGGTTGCTGTAGATCAAATTTCTTTGAGTGCCAACTTGTCTACATCTCTAACATGCAGGTCACCTGATGGAGAAGATTGAGTCGGAAAATTTGTTGCACAGAGCTTTCAGTGTGTTTCTCTTTAACACAAAATATGAGCTGTTGCTTCAGGTATGTGCCATTCAGGAGTGTTGGATGCATTATGCTACTAGAAGCCTAATTGGATTTTAAAAGCTTATATTCTCCTTCAAGAATTATGCGATATGTGTCTCAATGATATATTATAATATTTTTAGGAAAATATATGGGTTTTAATATTAAAAAAAAAATATTCTCAGACATATTTGGAAATATTATAAAACAGACTTCCTTTCATATAAATTAAATATCCCAGACTGACTGGCAACAAAATTTAGTGCGAGGAAAACGAACTATTGCTACATGTTTGCGAAGTGTTTATGAACGGTTTAAATTATAAATAGTTAGAACTTAGAAATGAGCTAGACATAAACGTACTATTATTTTGAACATGCGAGACAGTGTGTGTAAATGCAACTTATGAAAGAGATGCGTTTGACTTCTTTAGCCTTCTCACTACATCTTACTTTCTAAAACCTTGTCCAGTCTCGCGCTCTGTCTACCACATTCATCGATATTACTACCTTAAGTGGAGTCTGAAAAACCTTCTTTCTTCTTTCAATCCTTTTTCCTTTGCAGATAAACAATTCTTTAGCTTCCAGTTCGACATGCTTATCCTGAACCTCCAGTTCTTTGTTTCCAATTTCTTCAAGCCAAGAATAGATCATTTTCTTTCTCAGTTTGTTTTATATCAGAGCCACAAATATTGTGTAAGAATGGGAAATTAAGAATGTTAGAAGGTTGAAAGAAAAGTTGTTGCGACCTCTTATAAAATGCAACAACGAAGATTTAACACGTTATTTTGGCATGCGAACAGATTACAAATTTAAAATATTCTTCCAATTGTCCTGTAGGCACTTTGTTTAATTATTTCAACACAAAGATTATTATTGAATACTGATACTTATATAAAGTATGTGTCCATACGCATTTGATTATTGAATGTTATTATAAGCTCCATGAACACAATGATAAATGTTTGTATGTCTTTATGCTTGTGTCAGAATAGAAACATATTTACAGGTTAAATATGAAGTGTATCTGTCATTATTCCAGACTGTTTTCATCACCATGTCTATTCTCTTTTTCTTTTGCTTCCTCTCAATTCGTCGAGCCTCTTTATCCTTGACAGATTTTTCAAATATAAACGTCTTATCTGGTGAAATATGCCGAGGGATTTTTTGACTGGCAACTTTAGAATGATAGTGTGGAATTCCCGAGAAACTGTAATAATCCATGCTGATGGTGTGGTAACACATTTGCTTCTGTTTGTTATTGTGCAGCAACGATCTGCAACAAAAGTCACCTTTCCTTTGGTGTGGACAAACACCTGCTGCAGCCACCCCCTTTACCGAGAGTCTGAGCTTATCCCCGAGAAGGCACTTGGTTGTTTTTCTGTTCTGTTTCAATTGCAGAAATAATTGCCTATCCTTTTATTCACCATATTTGTATTTCAAATATAAGGGGTGAGGAATGCTGCCCAAAGGAAGCTCTTGGATGAACTGGGTATTCCTGCTGAAGACGTCCCGGTCGATCAGTTCACACCATTGGGCCGCATGTTGTACAAAGCGCCTTCTGATGGAAAGTGGGGAGAGCACGAACGTAATAATACATACTTTGATTTATATTGAAAGCTTGTTTGGTACAGTTCAAAATTGGATTAAAATTGAAAATATAGCCGTTATTGGGTCCCACTCGTTTAATAAAAGTCAATAATAACGGTTAGTTTTTCAATTTTAATTCAATTTTAATCTCTACTGAACACGCCCTGAAACTCTCTGTGATAGTAACCTTTTGTTGTCACGGACGCTTTAATTATTTGTAAGGCTATTTAGGACAATTGGTGTTAAAGCACTAGTCTAAATGACACTAATGTGGCATTAAATGGGAGGTATAATTAAACGAATCACTTAATTCTACCTTTCATTGAACCTATCACTTAACGTCGTCTAGACTAGTGTTTTAGCACCAATGGTGTTATATAACATTATTCCTTTAATTATTGATCTTCATATCTTAAAAACAAACTGTGCATGTTTTGTAAGATGGATTAAACAAAAAAAAAATTAAAATCTTGTTTATTGTCGACATGCCAAGCATTCAATGAGTGTGCATTTAATTGTCAATATTTTCCATGAAAAATGTGTTTTTTCCACTCAATTTTCTACATTTGTGCTATTTGAATAACAATTTTTTCACGAAAAATATTTTCGTACTTTTGGTCACGTGACCATATTTTCTTTAGGGAGATGTGGTTTTTATTTTTCAGGTAATTTACTCTCTCTTTCTCTCTATCGTGTATTCCTCCCTCTCATTTATCCACTAATAAAAAATGGACATGTATAATATTTTCTAGGTTGAAAGATAAATCAATCAAACACATTTAATTAATAATTTTTATACAAATAAGTTTTAGGAAATTGAATTGCTTAAAATTTATTTTATTCTATACAAATTTCATGCTTGCAATTAAACGCACGCTAATTGTTTTCTCGCTGTCTCTACTTGTGCTTACTCACGTGGTCTTGTTTGATCCACCTTGTTTTTTTCTTTAGTTGATTACCTTCTCTTCATTGTTCGGGATGTTAATGTCAACCCGAATCCTGATGAGGTAGCTGATATCAAGTACGTGAATAAGGAAGAGTTGAAAGAGCTGTTGAGAAAAGCAGATGCTGGTGAGGGTGGTATTAAGCTGTCCCCATGGTTCAGACTAGTTGTTGACAACTTCCTGTTCAAGTGGTGGGATCATGTGGAGAAGGGGACTCTGAGCGAAGCAGCTGATATGAAAACCATTCACAAGTTGACTTAGAAATGCAGATGGTTAAGGTTATGTTATTTCATGGCAGATTTTCATTTTCTTGAAAAATAAATGACTTGTTTGAGAAGAGGTCCTTGAAACCAATAAGTTGATTATGCTAGTTTCATGAGGATTGTTCTTATGAATTTGCTTAGCTTGTGATATAGACTATAGTATTCGATTTGGATTTTAAATTATAACTCAGTAGAGAAATGCAATGTTCGTTGAATTTATTCTATTCTTCTTTCTGTGACATGGATTGAACATTTGGAATATATCAGTGGTACTCTCAGGAAATAGCTAAAGAATGACTGCTAACTGGTTAATCAGTTGTTCTGTCATGTTTGAAATGAAGCCTATAAATGAGTACACAGAGACAGGTTAAGCTCGCCATGAACATGTTGACACAAGGTTTTTCAAAAAACAAAAAAATATATTGTAGGATACATATGCAAGGTTTAAGTCCATCGGTTAAAGATTTTTCATTTCAAAATATGCATCGTATAGTTGATCATGAATTCTTTTAAATAATACCAAGAATTTACCCAACGATTGAAAAGTATAACTCGAACATAAAGCCAAAATATGAGGCATCCACGGAGTGAATTTATTAAATCGCACTTTTTAATTCATTATTGTGACTTCATCGTTTAGCGATTTTATAACTGAAAGATGTATCATAAAATACATACGTTGTGAGTACTTCAAAAAAAAGGTATCAAGAAGATTTTCTAATATTCAAGAATTGTAATCCAAAATTAAATTTAAACTGTCTTGGTAAAATGGAATGCAAATTTTCTTTGTTATGTTGGAGGTTGGAGGCGGGGTGGTTTGGCTGGAGTCACCATGCCCCACTATTTAAACAAAATTGATGGCATATCACTCAACCCACCTCTTCATATTACCAAAAAAGTTGACACAATGCCGCCTAATGTTTGCTTATTTTGTAGAATATCTCTCTGACATTTCATTTTGGTGCAAAATTTCCCCAAATCATCCGAACATAGCGAAATTCCCATGCCGCCTAACGTCTATATCTGATAAGATAAGCGTTAAAAACATTAAAAAAAAATCAAAATTAATAAGATCTCTAAGGCTATTTCAGTCTCTTCAAATCTAAGGTTCCATTTGTTTAAAATACGAACTGAGAGAAAAAATAAACAGATGATTATGGCATTAAAGTCCCAAGAATCGACCAAGAAATTCCAACGCAACAATCATTTTTCACAGTTTTGTTCACTGAAGAAGTATCTGCATGTTATTCTGTTATATTATGCTATTGTGCAATTTGTGCACTGCTGACTGGATGTTTTTGCTGGGGTTTTCTTTCTGGGTTTTCCTTGGTAAATCCTAGTTTTGTCCTCTCAGTTGTTGGCCTGTAAAGGTGGTGGAATGGAGTGGGTTTGGGACCCAGGTGGGTCAGAGGCTGCGTCGCAGTCGTGCTTTTCGAGGTGAGTTTTTGTTGGATCTGCCGAGGGTTTGGGCACCCTCGATCAGTTCAGATCTCGTTCATCTGGTGAAGGTTTTGGGCCCGAACCTAGTTTCTCCTTTTGGTTCTTGGTGTTTTCTTTTCTTGTTCAGTTGTTTTGGTGGTCTTTTTCTGTTTGTTGCGGTGTGATTGGTGGTGTAAATTTGTGGTGCGTTGGTTGGTGTGGCGGTTTCATTTGGTTGCTCGTCGGTTTCTGCTCTTTCGGGTGTCTACAGTACTGGGCAGCCCCTATGCTTGGAGGGGGCATGCGTTTTCGCGAGATCTACTCCCAGCCAGATACCAGTTTGGTCAGCTTCCCTGCGGGTTTCTGGAGCGTGTTGGTCCCTGTTTTGGCTTGGTTGTGTTGTTCGCCGGTGCTCTCTCCGGTCTCTTTGGTTCTCCTATCACCGTTTGGTGAAGTGCGTGATGAGTCTTGATGATTTTTGGAGTTCTTGAGTCTGGAGGTTTTGGTCTCTGTTGAGGTTTTTGGAGCATTTTTCGGCTTTCCTGTCTTGGGTCAGGTGTCGTGCCATGTTGGCTCTGTGTGCTGCTCCTGTGTTGCCGATTCGCTTCATCATTGGCCATGATTTTGGTTTGCAGTTTGGGCAATGTCGCTGGCCAAGGTTCTGGCTCCGGGTTTCATGTGTTTTGGCTGCGGGAGACATGTTTGGGGTTAGAGCTTCGATGGTGTCTTGGTTCCGCCCAGATTTGGCTTCCATTGCTTTGATGTCTTGCCTACTGCCGGTTGAGGTCGTGGTCTGTGCGTGGGTGGTTGGTTTTGGTGTTTCATTCTATTTGTAGTCTGCTTTTTTTTTTTAATCTTTTTTGTGTTGTGTTTGTTTTTTGTTTTGGTATCTTGCATAGGATGCACTGAATCTCTCTTAGGAGAGCATAGTGTTGGAGGTTTTTCCTCCATGTATCCATCATTTGCAGTGGTTTGAATATATGGTTCCTCGTTGAATTAAAACAAAAAAAAAAAAAAAAAGATCCTTCCCCACTATTGTATGACTTCTTCATGTCATGAAATTCTGTGGATGGAAAACCTTTCAAGAAGGGATTAATGGATTTCACTCCTATCACAAGTACGTTGAAGTCAACAGAATCAAAAATGAAAAGCAGGTTCGACAAGTGTTTCAACTACTTGTATAATAGTTTCACACTGCATACCGGATTTACACACTAAATACCGAATTTACAACTTAAATGCCGTATATGCAGAATGGATAACGGATATGCAGTTTGAGTACCGTATATGGAGCAGGCTTAAAACACTGTATTTACACACATCGTTTTTCGTATTATAACATATTAAATTATATATATAACAAATCCAATGATTTGATAATGAGCAAGAAATAACAAGTAAAATAATAATAATAATAATAAAATGGTAATGAATTTTCAGATGAAATTCGTGTGTAGAAAACTAGAAAAAATCAAGATATATATAGCTCCCGTTTGGCACCCATTAATTTCTCATTCTCATTTTCATTCTCATTCTCATTCTTCATTTCAACCACACATTCTCCAAATAAAATAATATTACACATAAATCAAAAACTTTTCATCACTTTTTCACCACACATTCTCACATCAATCACTATTCTAAAATTTATATTCTTCTCAAAATTAGATTCAAACACACCCATAGACTTGGAACTTGTATCTCCTAAGGGGCCAATTTTACTCCTTACGGTCCGACATTCGTGTACGCAGATCGCGTCCGTACACAAGTTTAAAGTCCGAAACTCATTTCGGTCCATAATTTGCACCCCCTTTTCGGCGCACGTGGAGAGAGTCTTTACGTTACACATGATTACACCATTCTAAAGTGTAATCCTTTATATAGTGGTTTTAGTTTTCATCCACTTCTTATGCGGGACAAACATATTTTTTAGTTTCCCACCAACATAAACTCCTTTTAAGTGGCACACTTTGAGTTTCAATTTCTCATTCACCCGAGCATCAATTTTGACAAGTAAATATATGATTTCGATGTACTCAAGAAAGAGAACACAAATCAACCTTGATTTTTCAAAATAGCCAAACGGGTCCCACTCAAAAATCATGCCAAAGTCAGCTATATACTCATTTGTTTCAACGAAACACTTGGAGCATTTTACTCATTTCAATGGCAATTTTACTTTACTGTGTCAAGATTTTGCTGGAACAGAATGAAACTCGACAAATTCAGCACACAGCTAGAAATAAAACCTTTGAACACAAACTTTTTACATCTACTCGTCAAATCCTTTAAAACACACAGATTCAGAATCTCCGGCACCTTCCTCGAAACTCGCTCCTGTCTCTTCCCTGGTTATTATAGTGCTGGAAGCCGATGAACCAATAGGTTCGGGCATCAGAAGCAGTGCTGCCTTTCTTTTGTTTCTGCTTCGCTGCCACCTTTTCACCGACTCCGACACCTCCCTTTCCATTCGTACTCCCACTCGTGGCTCTGTCGACACTTCCATGGACGAATTTTGCTCACCAGCATTGCCAAAAGGAATAGCCATAACGGGAAGGACGAGGGGCTTAAAAAAAACAAGAAGCAGCATTACAAGCAAGATGTATATATATAAAGAAGTCCAAACGTAAAATGTCCATTTCCATCTGTAAACCAGTTCTTTTGGCCAAGGAAGCTGAGAATTCAGGACAATCTCAGAATCATAAAACTGTGGAAGGAACAACGTTCCGGCCCGAGGAATCAAAGTTATTCTGATTTTTTCTGTTCTTGGATAACCTTCCTTGTGCTTCAATATAGGAATCGAAATCCTTTGAGTTTCAGTTACAATCCCTAATAACAAGGGGATGCCCATAAAAAATGTCCTGATGAGACGAATCGGCCGGCTTCTGAAGTGTAACATGCAAGGACGACTTGATTTTACCATGACATCTCCTTTGGTTGATATTAATTCAGCAGTCGACTAAAAGAACAAGTTTTTGTGTTAGGAGCAATAATGCCTCTTAAGCCCAAGGATTAAGGGTCAATCAAATGTATGTTCCTCACTATACAGCTATGAGATTAATTGAAAGATGAAGCACAAAAGTAAGAACTTAAGAAATGAATACACACGCACCTGAAATATTCCAATATCTCTGTTGTAATCAGATTCCGGCATCAAAAGAACCACGGACACATAAAAAGTGTGCCCAACAGGCACTCCGCCTACACCACCACCGCCTTCTCCTCTGGTGGCGCCACCACCAAAATGGAAGACAGCAGTTGGGTGCATATCAGTATAATCAAAATGCAAAGTTTCCCTAATAGAAACAGGTTCTTCCACCCATAATCTCACCACCCCCACACCCAATACTAAAGCCACAACCATCACTATCATCAGCACCATGCACACATATGCAGCACCAAGAAACCCCATAGCCATCTTCCTCAGTAGGAGGAGGCCGCTGTGCCCGACGATGGATGGGACTCCGGCAGCCGCTTGCACGGCAGATTCGACTGTTTCTTTCTCCTCCTTCGCCCGGTGGAAGGAGTCATGAATCAGGGATATCAAAGAGATAAAGGGTGACACAAGGGCTATTACACAGTTGGAAATTATCTCTGCTTGAAGTGATATGAGATTTGTTAACAAAAGGGATGGCTCCATGCTTGCTTCTCCCTGTGTGTGTGTGAGGGAGGCAGTGATAAATTGAGTGCCTTATGAGCACCACCTGTAATTGCATGTCTTCAAGAATAGACAGGTGTACTAAGACTAGAGTCTTGAAATCGGCAAAGCCTACTACATGTTCGGGTAAGCTTAAACTAAAAATGGACAAAAAAAATAAAAATAAATTAAAAATAATAATTAATTTAACCAAATATTTCACGATATTCGTAACTTTTCAACAAAATATTTCATCATAAATCAAAATCTACTAAAATTTTAATTTTTAACTAGAACAAGGAATTAACATACAAAATATATAACAAGCATATTTAGAGTTGTACTGCATGTATATAATGGTTTACATATTCATGATGTGGTAATATAATGATTGAGTCATAATTTTTTCAACAAAATAAAAAAAAACTTCATTACTCTCTTTTTGATATCTCATCTATAAACTATCGTTTAACTTCTTACGTACAAGTAACATTATTCGTATTTGACATGTTGATCCAAGCAAAATTAGATAGAACCCTATATGAATATCTCATATGTCCATCATTCTAAAATCAATCATGCTATGTGTATATCATCTTTTCCATTGTACCTTATAGCAAAATATCATTGTTTTAAAATTTGTCCGATCATATTCCTAATCAAGATTTATTGTCTCGAATTTGTTATTCGATTTTATCTTATGTTCTCTTCTTATTATATGTGAAGATGGTAACATATTTTTTGATATCACACCGTATTACACTTTAGCATCTCTCGAGTTATAAAAAATGGATTGGAATGATAGTCATGGAGACGAGACTTAGGACATTCGACCTCGACTCATAGAAATTTGCTCAAAACAAAATGGGGTTGGGTTTTGTGACATTTCTTTTTTACACTAATTAATAAGTAAAACACAAATATGTCGCAATTAATTAATTTATTTTTGTTAACTATCTCTTCATCCTGCTTGGATAGGAAAGAGAGTAGCTTTGTTCTAGAGTGTAGTTAGTTTTTGTGTGTAACAACATACGAAATTTAGGAGGTTTATATGACGTGTGGCTTTCTTGATTTCGCGCATGAACTTATATTTTGTTCATCAATTTCCGCCAAATTTTCCAGGGGAACCATACGCATTGCAAAATGCTCGGTAACGAAACAAATATAAGCACGCCACCATGCATGCATACACACAATCTCTCTCCATATCTCTCTCTAAAACTCTCCCAGTCCCTGAGAAGCAACAGCCCTCCTCCATTCAAGAAATGGATGTTGAAACGCAAAAAACGCAGTGGGAATTTTAATTTTGAAATAGAGTTTGAGATTCCATTTGGGGTCGGAATAATTTTTTGTGGGTTGAATAAATTTGATTGAGAAAGTGGGTTTGTTTATTTGGTTTATTGATTTTTTGGTTAAGAGATAACACAGTATCAATCGAAGTCTTGAAAACCCTTTTGAGGGTTTTTAATTGATTGATACTGTGTTTTTCAGACAGTAATGTAGAGAGGTAGACTCAGATTTTTTTCAAGCTTTTATTTTTTGATTATCAGAAAAATCGAAGGGTTTGAAAATGGCGGAAATTGAAGGGCCATGTGTCAAACAGGACCAATTCGATTCGAAACCATTGTTTGATGGTAATAATCAAGAAATTAAGAGGTTAAAGTTGGAGAAAAATCAAGAAATTGATGGGGGTGTGATTAATAGCTCCAATTCAAATCAGTTGAATGAATTTTCTACTCCTGATGATAGGAATAATAAAGGCAGCATTGCTGAGAGAAGGGCTGCAAAATATGGTTTTAAAGCTTCGAAAATCGACGTATCCCGATCCAGCAGTGCCACCACCGGAGTGATGGGGCCTCCAGTGGTCCGGGCACCGTGTTTCACCATACCTCCTGGCATTAGCCCGGCTGCTTTGCTCGACTCTCCTGTCATGCTCCCAAATGCTCAGGTTTAAAATTCTCCATGCCATTGTGATTTCCTTTTATTCGTGATATGTTGAAATTACTTATGCTGTACATAAGAATGTTGAATTTTTGGAATTGCAAAAAAAAATTTAAACAAATTGACTGAGCATAATGAAGAACACTACACATTGTTCGGATTGACAAGGAATCACGATACATCTAAAAAATTTCAAATTTACATTATATAAGAGAAGGAAAACAAGGAAAAAAATGTAAATAATAATGAAATATGTTGAATCTACTTGAACACATGAAAAAAAGGCCATTCTGGATTCTGATTCCTAAATAAATCTTTTGAACTCTTTATTTCTGTCTTCTTACATTTGTTATTCATATTAGATGAAACAAGGAAAATAAATAATCTCCATCACCCTCAAAAACACTATGAGAAAAAACTATTATAGACGAACAAATATGTCGATTGGAGAGAAAATCGGTTGGTAAGTATGTTAATGACGGACTCCAAGCCATTAGTAAACTTTATCTATGGCTGAAATATGGTTTCGTTGGCAATTTTTGTAAAATCTTGGGGTCGTTTATCCATCTTTTAAATGTTTATTATTTATTATGGACCATGTTGCTGGAAGTCTGGATAATTGTTTTAGCAAATTATTTAAAATACTAAATAATAAAAATGTATAAAATAACTTAACAAGGCCACACAACCCCAATTCTTATAACTTGATTGGAGTCGAGAAACTTAGTCAACATTTTTTCCAGGTGAATAAACTTTCTTGTCCTCGAGTCATCTTTTTATGTAAAATGGATCGAGAAGCCTTGTTCAGAATTTTTAAGGCAAAGTTTTCTACTTGATACCGAGTACCTTTTACTCACTAAGATCAAGTTCACTGTACTTTCTTATCATTCACTTGACTCCTAATATCTATACATGAGTGGGTTAAGTTATCTTGTTCAACATATTTTCTAGCAAAATGTAACATATTTTTTGGGACCAATCTCATTCAACCTTTAGCACTTCTAACCTATACAGGTTCAAGTTTCTGTATTTAGCATATTTTATTAAGTGTTGAAGACGAGATTTAAATGATATACATGGGCTCTCTCTAACATCTTAAACTTTATCAACCGATTCAATGTGATAGTAAAGCACGCACAGATACTAAGTTCAAGTTTCACCATTACCTATTCAATGAAGTTGTGCACATGCTAGGTTTTGATAGAAAGATGTGAACTCCACCTACACGTGAGGGAGCATGTTGAAAATAAAATTTAAGTGATATATGTGTGGTTATCTCTAATGACTTAATCTTATAGAAGTGGTTCAATATTAAATATACAGAATATCTTGATCTCGGGTATTTCTACCTGATTGGAGTTAATTTATTCCAGGTGAATATGCCTATCTATGTTTATCATCTCAATTCGATTGGGTTTGAGTTGCCTTATTGAAAAATTTTCCCACATGAACAATCTACTTTACCTTTAGTACTTCTAACTAACTATGATTTGACTTACCTTGTTCAATTGTGTACTTGTAAACAAACTTACTTGATCCCTAATACCTCTGCCCAACTGCACTCGAGTTGGATTTTTAATCATATGTCCCAACAACCCCACCTAACCAATCCCTGTACCTCTACTCAATTGGTTCGACTTGCCTTGTTCAACATATAACAAGCCTATTAGCCTTTTTTTTCCCTCTTTGCTAATCTATAGCAGACAAAATGCAGTTCCATAGTACTTCCTGTTCCAAGCCAGATAGAGAAGATTCTTTACCCTTGTAAGTTGTAAGGTTGAACCAATTTTGTTTCTGTCAATATTTATTGCCTGTCAGTTTCAAAAGGAAACATTACACTAGAATACCCATGAAAATCTGTCAATTCAAAATTAAATTTTACTCAATTAATAATAAGTTAAATATTGCTCGAGAGGTAAATATAATGTTGGAAAAAGAAGTTAAGATAAAAGGATGCTTGTTTGAAAGTTCTATGTTCATTATTTTTATTACTTAGGGGCTGTATGACACATAGAAAAATGTGTTTTTGAATAGTGATTGATGGAAGAATATGTGGTTAAAAAGTAAGGAGAATTTTTAGGTTTATGTGTAGTATTATTTTATTGATAGAATGTGTGGTTGAAATGAAGAAAGAGAAAAAGAATGAGAAAAAAATTGGTGCCAAACGGGGGCTTAATAACATAAAACCATGTTGAACGTGCTTTCATTATCCTTTACAGTGGATGGTTTGCCTTGTTTCTTGACCATTTTTCTTCTTTTCCTTCTGCAGGCACAACTTTCTCCTACTACTGGAACTTTCCATTTTCCTTCATGCAATCTTGAGAGCTTATTAAAGTTCAACATTAAATCCAAGGCTCAGAGTGAACTCGATTTGGTGTCAAATAAGTTGACAACAGGAAATAAGGTAATCTGTTAGCAAAAGTCATCTATATACTTCCTGCATAAACTCGATGGAAAATAGATACAAAAAAATTGAGATGAAGGCATTTGTCACTAAAAAAATGGTCTTTTGTTGTTCGTTAAATGTTTCCAACAATGTTGATGTCACCAGCCCTTCAATAAATGGGGAAGTTGTTTTAGCCTCCGTTTGGAAAGAACTTATAAATGGTTTAATTTATAAATAGCTATAAATTTCACATATGGATAAGTGAAAAATACTTGTTTGTCAGTTGGAATGTGTGATTGAAAATGAAGTTTGAACATTTATAAAAGATTTATAAATTTTGCCAATCGGAACGGCTATTTTTTTTTTCACACAATCTACGATTTTTTGCTTTCTGGTGAAGGATTTCATTAGTGTAATAATATTAAATTATCAACTGCATCTGTTTCACTGCTTTTACTATTGCTTAAACTTTTAAGAGATGGCCTAAAAGTTCTTCGCCCTATGCAGCCCCCTGGAAATTTTGAAAATCCCTCACATTTGCTAGATGCTGCTAAAGGGGACTGTTCTGCAGATGCAGCTGCTGAAACTGAAATGTCGCGAAATAAATTCGTGGATGCTGATTGTCCTAGTTCACAGTCGAACATTACTAACACAGAAAGCGATAATAAAGAAAGTGGCCCCAATCGTAATCTTGAAAAGGATCCAAAAGCAGCATACTTTTCCAAGGAAGTATCCAGGAATTCCGACGATGGATACAACTGGAGGAAATATGGACAGAAACATGTGAAAGGAAGTGAATTTCCTAGGAGCTATTTTAAATGTACTAATACAAATTGTCCTGTGAAGAAAAAGGTTGAGCGCTCACATGATGGCCAAATTACAGAAATTGTGTATAAGGGTTCTCATAATCACCCAAAACCTCAACCCTTTAGGCAATGCGACTTACAAGAGACTAGTGAAGGCAATGGATCATATTTGAGAGCTGAAGGTAGAACAGCTTGGAGAAACGTCGTGCCAGGGTGTAGGGATATGCGGTATGGATCAGATTGGAGGGCTGATGGTTTGAACAGGACGTCTTCCACATCATTTCTACGTGATTTTTCTTATCCACCATTGTTATCAAAATCAATGAACTTATTTGAACCAGTAGGAACTCCAGAATTCTCATCTACATTTGCCAGTGAAGATGTTGATATTGATGAAGATGAGGCCACTCTAGATAGCACGTCGTTAAATGATGACGATGATGATAATGATGAATCTGAGCCTAAAAGGAGGTAATAAATGCTTGTCTTCACGTTTTTTTAAATATTTTTGCTTGCTATATGGTAATCGGATACAAAATTAGCAATTACCTTTCGTTTCAGGAAGAAACACGGATTCCCAATTGAAACCACTATATCATCAAGGTCGACTCGTGAACCGCGAGTAGTTGTCCAGATAGAAAGTGATATCGATATTCTTGATGATGGGTATCGATGGAGGAAGTATGGTCAAAAGGTTGTTAAAGGAAATCCAAACCCGAGGTATGTACTAAGATAACATAAATCATTCGTAATTAGTCAAACTTTATTTTCAACCACGCATTACAATGGATCCACAAGTACTATTTACTTATCCAGCACTCTTCTTTATATTTATAAATTGAACCTTTTACAAATTCTTTCCAAAAGGAGGCTTAAAGACGATTCCAAGACTTGTTTTCTTCACTTTGGTTGTAACTAATTTATGGCAGATGACGTGAAAACACCTAGTGCAACAGAAAACAAGAAACATAATAATCAAAAGGCAATAATTTTACGGTCTTGAATTTTTGTATTTTGTAGGAGCTACTACAAATGCACTAGTCCTGGATGCTCCGTGAGAAAACACGTAGAACGAGCTGCTGATAATTTAAAATCTGTAATCACAACGTATGAGGGGAAGCACAACCATGAAGTGCCTTCATCCAAAACCGGAAGCCTTGTAATATCTAATGTTGCAAATTTACCATCTGCTGTCACCAACAGTACCCAGTCTGCCTCATCGTCACTGCCTCAGATTCCAGGCATGTCAAAAGCTGGAATGCAGGTTCAAGATCTCCCCTTATACTTGGAAAGGAAGGCAATCTTAAGTAATGAATACACGAGCTCCAATTTTCTTGGAAATTTTGTCAGTGATGTGAGCTTTGGAGCTTCTTCAATTTACCAATTCGCATCTGCTCCATTGAATTCCGTACCTTATGGATCTGTTCTGATGAGCTCCAATGACATGGATACGTACCATTCTTCGAATATTTATCCTATTGTGCCAGATTATGTTCCAATGCCATTGCCAATGAATCATCTTCCTGGATCAGGAAATGTCCATCTGGGCAATTTTCATTTTGGCAATCATATGGTGCCAAATGGTGCAAATATTCAGTCTTCAATTCAAGGGCAGCCAATCAGAGAGTGCCACACGATGATTCTGAAGCCGAAAGAGGAGCAAAAGGATAATAATGATTTATATGAAGCTTGCGTATCCATTCCCGATCATGCAAACGCAACATCATCGACAAGTTTTTCTAGGGCCATAGAAAATTTCCCATCTTGACCAACAATTTTCTCTTGGCCCTTCCAAACCAAGTTTAGAGTGGTGGGTACTCTCCAGTGATTGTCAAAGGCACCATTCTCGTGCAATTTGGTGATTAAAGTGTCTTTTTCTTCGTATTCTTCCTCATAATGCATAGAACTGTGTAAATATTCTTTTTGAAACTTCGCATTTTTGCTATTATGCAGTGTGAAGTAAATTAATGAATTTGTAGTTTTATGCTGTCTCTCGGTGCCTGCACACGCATACATATACAAACAAATATGGAGATGAAGTCCAACATTAGACTTAATTGCCATTTGATATGCATAGGCTGGTTGTACATAGCGGTGTCATTTGGGCAGGTCGGACTGATTTGTGGCACCATTTAACTGTGGCTTGTCTTGGTCCTATATGGTCGAAGTGGGATATAGAGCCTGACACTGGATGTTTCATGGGCCGTGCTGCATGGGGTGCGACAGCTCTACTCAGTTTTAATACCTATAGTCATACTATAATATAGAGAAGATGGTTTCAAGTTCTTGTTTCAGGTGTGTAAGCTAATGTGGTTCATCAAAAAGAAGTTGATGCCATTTTTCTGTCACACTTATAATAGGTGTGTAAGATAATGTGCAAAATGCATTACAGTCAAGGTTTATGATTTTATCTAATTACATAGGACACAAGAAAATGATAGTTTGTAATCGAGAAATGTGATTGTTTCTCTCAATTGTACACCGACTATGGATGTTGAAATCTACGGTGAGCCACAACGTCAACTTCATTGGTGGTGAATCATCATAGGATCCTGGTATCCTTTCTCTTCATTCTTCTCATAAAGTTCTTTAGTGAAAGAGGGGTAGTGATAGTTTGTGCTCTAACGATAAGAGGAAAGTAGGAAAATGCTTAAAATTGGATATTCCGGCTATACCTGTGTTGTCCATCATCTATTTCTTGATCCCTCTTCCACCTTATTGGAGACGCAACTTCAGCACCTCGATACACCTAGAAGGTCTTTGATCTCGCTTATGATGGGCAACCGATTCTCCCTACATGGTAGGTCAATAAATGGACCTTTTGTTCTGGTGAGAGTAACAATTCGCGTGTTGGCTCAGCTATGAACCTCCCCAGAGCTACGCCCGCATCCATCCTCTCAAGGAGGTGAAAATGCTTGTCGTGGTACATCAAGAATTGCCTCATGGCGGCATTCTCATCGAAGCAGGTTGTAGATTAAGAGCTTATTTGATGGGGATTTTTGGGGGAATAATTAATTTTTGAATAGTTATATGACGTGAAGTGTGTGGTTGAAAAAGAAGAAATTATATGATGTGAAATGTGTGGTTGAAAAAGAAGAAAAAATTATTGATACGATGAAAAATATTATTTTATTGAAAAATGTGTGGTTGAAAATGAGAATTGATTTGAGAATCAATTCTCAAATAAAAAACAAACACCCTATAATAATCCTGTTTGCCAAAGTTTAAGTTAATTTGATTCGACGATTCTCCATGATTTATCTCCGTCGAGACTGATTTTGATTTCCGACTTTCTTCAGGTTTTAAATATTTGTTAGACCTACATCCGTTTCTTGGCTTTTTATGTACCTCACGTGTTTTCTTCTCGTGATTTTAATAAGATTCCCCACAGACGTGCCAAACCTAACTTGTATGCTAAAATAATTAGGCTCTTGATGGATTATGTAATATGATGTGATAGAAAAAGATCGAATAAAAAAAAATTGATTATGTTTTAAACTGGGAAATGATAAAGTGCTATATGACATTATATAATCCATTATGTAAATCTTGATATACACATAGCAAGATTTAAATAATTATTATCCGCTTGGATATCACGTTAGCCACAAAGGGCTCCACCACGTGCCCACATGTCATGGATGGATATTCATACCCGATCGACGATGCGCATCGAATCCAAAAATGTGCTTCAACTGTCAAAGCTCCTTTAAGCAAAGGACTGCAGAACCCAATCACTTGGATAAAAATATAATTGGAGGCCTCGACTGAGAATAAGGTTAAGAGCTTCAGGATAGTCGAGTATAGACTAAATCGTAGTATGAAATTTGACACAATAAACTTAGATTTCAGTGCGCTAAAATCACGTGTACACAAATTGATTGTTTGATAAGTGTCACAAAACACAAACCTCGACAAACATTGAAAAATGGGACCAAATCATGACCTCGAACGTAATGATGAATGTAGGCCACTCACAAAAATGATCAAAATATCTTAAATAGGACCAATTTACAATGTTAAAGGGGTTGAAAACCACATATAAGAACTTTCACTCTAAAAAGGGGCCTCGGGTAGAAATTTTCAGAAATTTAAACATTTTTCGATCAAGAAGCGCTTATGCGGCTAAAACAATGTCGAAATTTCTATCTTCCACCTTTTTATCCATACAATTGGCTTCTAAACAAACCAAAACTCCCCAAAAAGAAGAAAAATCCTATCGAAATTCAGGCAGAAACTCGATTATTGGCTTTAAAATATTATCGTGTTTTTGAAATCAACTATTGGTTAGTATTGTTGTCTTCAATTGTCTGGCCATCAATTGAAGGAATATGTGACTTTTTCATTTCAGAGAGGTTGAAAATAAGTTTAATAAATCGTAGTAATCGTCATAAAGTTTTGTACGAATGTAAACATATTTCTAATTTTCTAATGTGTGCAACGTTGAATGGAATACTCTAGTTTTCCACGAATCTTCGTATCATTCAAGATATACGTGCTCGTGTGGACATGATTTTTTTTAATCAATTATCTCTACACTCATTTTTAACCACACATTCTAAATAATTAACCACCCAATTTTAAAAAAAAATCACTCGTCAAATAATCATTTCCACACGAGCATACATAATGAACATATCTAAATGTTGATTTAGTTTTGTTTGTGTGAGATTAGTAAGTATCAAATTAATGCAAATATTGTCAATTACAAGAAATGAAGTTAAAGTGAATACAAGAGGTGGATTCCAATTTCTAAGTCTCCTAAGTAACTTGAGTATTTTTCTAAACCTTTTTAAATTTCTTTTAATTGTTTTCTTTAGATCATCTTGAATATTACTTTAAAACCTTTAAAAATCAAAACTCCGACTTTTCCGTTAGAACTTGATATATTTAACTATATTAACAATGTGAAATTATCTTCAACTTATCATTATATTATTCGTTTCTATACTGTATATATTAATATCAAATAATTTTGATTTTTTCAATCATGCACTTAAGAATTCATAACATACACGAATGTTTGACAAAGTATATAATTACTTATTAGTTGGTCAAACTCCACACATTTGACTCATAACATCTAACACCTTTGATCATACATGAGGTACAGTGGATGGGTCGATGTTGGTAAATGAAAAAACGTAAATCGCACTTTATAGAGGAACAAGCAAATGCGACTTAATGTCGGAAGGATAGAGCAGATTGATAAAACGGGAGGCGTGGTTCAGATCTCTCAGATGCCCAAACACTTGCACCGCTCATACCGCGCGCATCCAGCACTGGTTGAAGAAAACTTTCGGTAAATTTACCTTTTTATCTTTTGTTTTCCATTAATTTTTTCGGTATTTCCTGATATGACGAGTTTCATTCTGGATCTGAAAGTTCACGACTTAATTCAATATCTGTAGCGTAAGCATTAGACCCAACAAATTCTGGATCATGTACTCGTTCATCACTTTGTCTGGTTTCTTTTGGGTGGGGGTTGTGGAGAATGTAAATTGGCACGGATCTGTTAATGTGATTGATAAATTTTTCAATGACTGTAGTTCAATTTAATGTACAAGTCAAGGAGGCGTAAACCAGTCTGATCTTTTAGCCTTCCAATGATTTTTCTAATTTTTTTGGTTTTTGAATACTAATGTCGTGGTGCTGGCGACCAAGCTCCTAAATATAAGGATTTAAAAATGAATTCGGCCGGAATTCTTCCCAAGTGCTCCGAAATATTAATTTTAGTGAGTAATAACTGGGAAAATCACATTACATTTCTAAAGATTATACGATCTGATAAAGGACATTTGAGTGATAAGTTTCAATTTTTTCAAGGTCTCAAATTTTGTTTCTTCATTTTCTGTGTATTACATTTGATAATCATAACATAACAATTCAGGAGTCAACATTTTCAATCATTTGAATCTTATTGGTATAATTTTTAATTCTATTACATGTCATATCAAATCAATCTGTGATGAGAAATTATTACTGGGGGAGGAAGTAAGTAGATGGAGCATCATATGTTTCAGTCAATTTTCTCCTATGTAATTCTTTTACTTTTGTAAATTTTGCTATTGAGCATTGATAAAATAGCTGAGTTTTTGGCGTGTCTAGATAACGAATGCAAAATGGAGAAATCATGCTCTTTGCTGGTACACTTTGACAAGGGCACACCGGCACTTGCCAATGAGATCAAGGAGGCACTTGAAGGGAACGATGTTCCCGCTAAAATTGATGCCATGAAAAATGCAATCATGCTTTTGCTGAATGGTGAAACTCTACCTCAGCTCTTCATTACCATCGTTAGATATGTGTTACCCTCTGAGGATCATACCATTCAGAAACTTCTTTTGCTTTATTTGGAGCTCATTGACAAGACTGACGGCAAAGGTCGTGTGTTGCCTGAAATGATCTTGATCTGTCAAAATTTGAGAAATAATCTTCAGCACCCAAATGAATACATCCGTGGTGTTACATTGAGGTTTCTTTGCCGGCTGAAAGAGGTGGAGATCATCGAGCCATTAATCCCCTCCATTATCTCAAACTTGGAGCATAGGCACCCTCATATTAGGAGAAATGCAATTCTTGCTGTGATGACAATTTACAAACTCCCACAAGGCGAGCAGCTCTTGGTTGATGCACCAGAGACAGTTGAAAGGTTTCTATCATCAGAGCAGGATGCATCAGCTAAAAGAAATGCCTTTCTGATGCTTTTCAATTGTGCGCAGGATCGTGCAATTAATTATCTTTTGACCAATGTTGACAGAGTGTCTGACTGGGGGGAATTAATGCAGATGGTCGTCTTGGAGTTGATCCGGAAAGTTTGTAGGACAAACAAAGCAGAAAAAGGGAAGTATATTAAGATCATTATATCACTACTGAATGCTCCTTCAGCTGCTGTTGTCTATGAATGTGCAGGAACCCTTGTTTCTTTGTCTTCTGCTCCTACTGCTATTAGAGCTGCAGCCAATACATATTGCCAGCTTCTACTCTCTCAGAGTGACAACAATGTTAAGCTCATTGTGCTTGATCGCCTAAATGAACTCAAGCTTTCTCACAGGGATATTATGGTTGACATGATCATGGATGTTTTGAGGGCACTGTCAAGCCCCAACCTTGACATTCGCAGGAAAACACTAGATATTGTTCTTGAACTTATTACCCCCCGAAATGTCAATGAGGTGGTTCTTAATTTGAAAAAGGAAGTCATGAAAACTCAAAGTGGGGAGCTTGAGAAGAATGGAGAGTATAGACAGATGCTCATTCAAGCCATCCATTCTTGTGCTATAAAGTTCCCTGAAGTGGCCAGCACAGTGGTCCATTTATTGATGGATTTCTTGGGAGACAACAATGTAGCCTCTGCTATGGATGTTGCCATTTTTGTGAGAGAGATTATAGAAACCAACCCAAAATTAAGGGTTTCCATTGTCACCAGGCTTCTGGATACTTTTTATCAGATCCGAGCAGCTAGAGTTTGTTCCTGTGCTCTTTGGATCATAGGAGAGTATTGTCTATCTCTATCTGAAGTTGAGAGTGGCATTGCAACCATAAAGCAGTGCCTTGGAGACCTACCCTTTTTTTCGATTTCCGAAGAAGAGGAAGTTACTGACTCTACAAAGAAATCCCAGCAGGCGAACTCCATTACTGTTTCATCTAAAAGGCCAGCTATCCTTGCAGATGGGACATACGCAACTCAAAGTGCTGCCTCTGAAACTACTTTCTCCCCTCAAACTGTAGTTCACGGATCTCTGAGTACTGGAAATTTGAGGTCCCTTCTTCTCACTGGTGATTTTTTCCTCGGGGCAGTTGTTGCGTGCACATTGACAAAGTTGATACTAAGATTGGAAGAGGTTCAACCATCCAGGCTTGATGTGAACAAAGCATCAACAGATGTGTTACTGATCATGGTCTCAATGCTACAGCTGGGACAATCTTCAGTTCTCCCTCATCCAATTGATAATGATTCTTATGACAGAATTGTTCTTTGCATAAGATTGCTGTGTAACACGGGGGATGCTGTCAGGAAAATCTGGTTGAAGTCTTGCCATGAGAGTTTTGTTAAAATGCTTTCAGATAAACAGCTACGTGAAACTGAGGAAATTAAAGCAAAGGCTCAGATTTCTCATTCCCAGCCTGATGACCTTATTGATTTCTACCATTTGAAGAGCAGGAAGGTAAGAATACTCGTTTTGTGACCCTTGTGCATGCAATGAATATTAAAGATCTCTTATTTGTAGTTTATATAGAAAAATGGCTTTGGAGTTGAGTTTTCAGATGCTATTAGAACATAGCTGGCCTTTTCAAGAGAGTTATGATTTGTATGTCATTCTCCTTGATTAACTGTGCCTGTCTGCATGAGTTATTTATGCAGAGGTATGGAGAAAATTAAACTGAACAATTTTTCCTTTTGGGTTTCCGTGCACATGTCAGTCAGTCTGTGTGCAATTGTATTCTGTAGCTATGCTCCTAGTTGGGAATCTCACACAAAATCGATGGTCGATTCAACAAATTTTATCCATTGTTTCGTAGATTTGCCACATTAAGCCCTTGTTTGATGGGGATAAAAATTAGATTTTTAGTAGATTTTGATAGAAGTTAATTAAATGTGTGGTTGAAAAGTTGTGGGACTTTGATTTAGATTAAAATTAAAATTTTAGTTCCTACCAAACAGGGGCTAAATGTTAGGTAGGAAAATTTCCAGTAGTTACCCGAGACTGTCCATGCAAAATTTTTAATTATGTCCTCACATGGTTGTCTTCTCTCCAGGGCATGAGCCAGCTGGAGTTGGAAGATGAGGTCCAAGATGATTTGAAACGTGCTACTGGGGAATTCAGTAAGGATGCAGATGACGCAAATAAGCTAAATCGCATTATTCAACTCACAGGATTTAGTGACCCAGTCTATGCTGAAGCATATGTGACGGTTCATCAATATGATATTGTCCTAGATGTTACAGTTATCAATAGAACTAAAGAGACCCTCCAGAATTTGTGTTTGGAGCTGGCTACAATGGGTGACCTTAAACTTGTTGAGCGTCCACAGAACTATACTCTGGCACCTCAATCAAGCAAGCAAATAAAAGCAAATATTAAGGTTTCCTCTACTGAGACCGGAGTCATTTTTGGCAACATTGTCTATGAGACTTCCAATGTGCTCGAGAGGACTGTTATCGTCCTCAATGATATCCATATCGATATCATGGACTACATTTCTCCTGCTGTGTGCAGTGATGCTGCTTTTAGAACCATGTGGGCAGAATTTGAATGGGAAAACAAGGTATCATTATCCTTCATGTTACTGTTATATTCATTTCTGCATTTTCTTTTCAGTTACCCGATATTTTCCCTTGATTTTCCCATCTTTTTGGTGGTGTTATTGTTTTGTGCTGATCAGCTTCTAAAGTGTTTATTATCCGCGTCTTTACTGAAAGATTTGTAGTTTCTCTAATGTGAATTGTTTTGGGTGTAATTTAGTTTGTATTATTTAAATTAATACAAATAATTTGCTGGTTTGTAACTTTGCTGTTTATTTACTACCAAACAGCCTTTCCTTTTCTCTACAAGATTTTCAAACAAAGCTGCAAATATGATGTTCAAGTCTGAAATTAGAACATCTCAAACAATCGTTTTATGGAGCAGTCGTAGCGCCTTTTTATACAATACCTATTGGGTACCTGGTCTTACAGCATTAGGAAGTTATTTATTTTGAGAACATGCTCAATCATGATAATGTGTTCGGTTCGTTTCTGTGTAAAGTTTCACTAAAAGGCCAAAACAGTGTCCTATTTCCCTAAATTGACCTTAGTAGAATGTGCTAATGCAATATTCTTATGCCAGTTTATATCGTTTGTGTTTCTTAATCCTTTAAAATTGAAAGCATTTTCCGTTAGATTGCTGATGTATTTAGCTTGCTCCACACATATAGTTTCTTTTTCCATTCAAACAAGTTGTTCTTGTTTAGGGAATGTTACTCATCTTGTTACTAATTGCTTTTCTTTTCTTCCCTTTTTCCCTTCCTTTCTTTTGGCAGGTTGCTGTCAACACTACAATAACAGATGAGAAAGAATTTCTTGACCATATAATCAAATCCACCAACATGAAATGCCTAACTGCACCGTAAGTATTTATATATTTACCTCTGTGTTGTAATTTTGCGGCCATGGACGAGGTTTAGTCACATGCATGATAATCTTATACATTTGTTTTTTAGAAAAAAAAAAAACTAATCATATATATGCCGAGATGCTATTTTCCAATATTAGAGTGGGACTTGGAGTTGGTTTTCCATAGCTTTATTGGTGTTTTACTATTTTTCTTTGCTGGATCTGAAAGGGTCTTCCCAATTGAGAATGCATTGCAAATTCACTGTATATAGTTTGTTTACTGTCCCTGCCTTTTTCAGTAATACGATAATTCCTTTTAGTTTAGATATTAATATTTTATAGGACTCCATGGTTGTGTGTGTAATAGTACAGAATGCAGAGTATCACTAGGCCAAAAATTATTTCAGCTTCCTAGTGCTTGAATCTCACAGAAATGGAAATTTTCGAAGTCTAACAATTTGAAATTGAGTTTTTGAAGAACAAAGAAACCTGTTGATGATAATCCAAATTAAGATTATCACATGGCAAGAAAATGATCCTAGACAAGCCCTTTCTTTGAAAGCATGTCAAATCTTATAGTATAACAAGTGTAACACATAACTTTATTAAAAGCTTGTTTGGCACAGATTTTTTCAAGTGAAAAATGATTTTTTTGGAGAATGTTTGGTTGAAATGTGGGGAAAAGTTGTGGTTCCCATAGAATGTGTGGTTGAAAATGATTTTTGGAGAAAATGAATTTAGAAAATCTGTGCCAAACAAGCATTAAATATAGCCTTTATTTGGCCCCTATTTCCTCGAACTTATTTTTCCTCGAACTCATTTTCAACCATGCATTGCAGCGGACCACAACTTTATCAACTTTTCAATCATGCATTTCGTCAATTTTTATCGCAATATACTAAAATTCTTATTTTTAGCTAAATCAAACATGGGCATAATGTGCTGGTCTAGCATCTGAGTGTGAGGTTTTCACCATCCTAGGGAAGCATGCGTGAAATAAGGAATAGATAGGCTGGATTTTTAGTTCTAAGAGGCAAGAAGTCATGACCAATCAAGTTATCAAGGATAAAATCTGGTCTTTCACCTTTCTTTGTGTGATCTTTTTGTTATAGTGGGACAAATCTCTTCGGTTAAGGACCTAATGTAACTGATAAGAAATGTTAAGTCAAGAGTTTGCTGAGCTTCTTGTGGATTAGTGTCACTACCCTTTTCCGCATCATTCGCTAAAACAGCGATTATAGAATATTCTGTCCTCTCTCTTACTCCAATTGTGATGTATCAATGGCAAGTCTGCATCTTTTTATTTTTCTTTGTAACCTGTTCAAATACTTAAGCTGCAACATTTATTCCTTTTGTTTTACTTATTGTGCGCTGAGGGTGGTAAGATGTGTATTGTTTGCCTTATATTCTGCTTCCACGATTACCTTTAGGTCTGCTTTGGATGGTGAATGCGGGTTCTTGGCTGCAAATTTGTATGCGAAGAGTGTGTTTGGAGAAGATGCTTTGTTGAATATTAGCATTGAGAAACAGACAGATGGCAAACTGAATGGATTTATTAGGATAAGGAGCAAGACCCAGGGAATTGCTCTCAGCCTTGGTGACAAGATCACTCTCAAGCAGAAAGGAGGAAGCTAATCTTGCTTTTTGGTAAATGCCGGTCGGCTTTTCAATTTATGTTCTGACATTGATTATTAAGTAAAAGTCATTTTCAAGTATATTTTTTTATTCTTGTTTCCATACATATTTGATTTAAGTTACTTGTTCCTTCATTTCAAGTAAAAAAAGTTACATGGTAACTCTTGTGTTTAAACTCGTTTACTTGATATGTAAACTTTTTAAGCTTAGCCAAACATGCTCTATTGCTTTGGTTAGCTTGTCATATGGCAAAAGGGGTAAATTCACCCACAGGTTTCTTTTTCCTTATAAGAACCCGGGGGGGGCTCTTATTTTCTCATTAAAATCCTTTGCATTTCAAGATTTTGAACTATATATTTCAAGCGAGTTGGTATATTGTATATTATTTCCTAATGTTCTCTCATTTATTTAGTTTCCTCAAATTTTAATCCATTACAATCTGTAGGTTTTGCATGTGAATTACCTGTAGGAAAACTTGCTCGGAAGAAGATGGGGGGATAATTGCGAAACCTCGCAGCTTTCATTTTCACATCATTAAATTAGCTAGAGATTACGTAAAGTGGGGCTGGTTGAACTACAATTGACAGATGTACCTTTTGTAGAGGATTGAGGAAAAACTAGCGGCGTGATTTTGTTCAAATTATTGAATTTTTTTGTCAAAAAATGACTGCAATCGTTAATATCGTTACAACTTCTGAGCTGTTGATTGAAGTTTTATTCATGTGTAGTCATTGCTTTGCAGGAAAATGGACTCTATTTCTAGGTCTCTGAGTATTATAACTGTTTTCTTGGCCTTTTAAGTTTTACCCATTTTTTTTTTTGGACATCAATCCTAGAAAGGAAAATGTGGTTTTGCTAGTAATTTCTTGTGTTACATGACATATTTAAAAGCATTGGACGGCCTGCCATTGTTCGGCTCAACATGGCCTAAGATGAACGTGTCTTGAAGGCAACATATTTGAAGAGACAGGCTGTCTTTGAACTTTATGTGCGAATATTTAATTGAGATATTATGATTTTATAATTGAAATTAATGAAATATATGCCATTAGTTGCTAGGAAATAACTTCACATTTGCATGTTTCTAGCTATATAAAGTACACCTCGAGACAATGATTTTTAAATTTATGGAAGTTTGTAAATTATAGAGACCATTGTACAATAGCATTATGTACTGGGAGATGCCTTGACATAATGGTTGTTGGTAATGTATGATTTGATGAAAAAGGTGATTGTGTTTTAAACAGTTCAATAATAAAATGTAACGTGTAATTATGTCAATCTCCCTGACACTGTAGCATGATTTGTATGTTGTAGATCATATTTGAGACCCTTAGCATTAGAATTGGACCCTGAGCCAAAAATGGTTTGGTCCTTGGGCCTAGGCACAATTTTTTGAGTTAGTTAAAACCTGACCCGTTAACCAACACAAAAAAAAAAAGAAAATTATGAAATAATTTCTTTTTCTCAAACATTTAAATGAACAAACTAGTCAAAATGATTTAATTATTGTATCTAATGAAAATTATTTTTAAACTCTTTATTTTAACATTTTTAAAGTCTTAAAAATTAATTTTAAGTTTAAACTTATCTGATTTCTATGCCTTCTGTCACACGCTGTGACAGTCACGTCACTACAGCTATCACAACTTAGAGAAGGAAGAAGGAATATTAGCCTTCTTTGTCGTCCAAACCCGTTCGGTTTGATACCACTACTCGAGTCCTAAGTTGAAGTCAAAGCGCTCGGAATCTAGTTTCTGAATACAAGCTCGGAGCTAGTTTACGAGATATTTTGAAGATCAATGCTAACCCTGTTCAAGGCTAAAACTTTTGAAACAACTTATTTTTGTGAACAAAATGAAATTAGACCCATTTTTCAAATTTATGTGAAAAAAACTTCTTTTATATGAAAATCATAAATACCATTATTAAGAATGGATGGATCTTCCTAGTCTCTTCTTATCCTTTGCATTACTTCTTGCCACTTGCGCGAAGTGAATTGTCCTCGCTTTAATTGTATTGTGGGGCACAATTCTTAAGCGGATAAGAAGAAATTGTTTAAGAAAGATGTGAGTTTGATTCCATTTCCTTCCAATTCAGCCATGAGATTTTATATTGGGAGCGTAAGCTTGTGCAGATTAGTTCCAGAATTACTATTGAAGTGGACAAGACGAAGACTCTTCAAAATCTCCCTTCAAAACAAGCATCTAAGTAGAGGGTTCAGGCTTTGGATGAAACGGAACATCGAACTCTAAGAATAGCACAATTTGTTCACCTCCATCTAGACTCCATCGTGAGTATAGTTATAGATCAACAACGAGGAAGGAGTGTGTGTGTGTGTGTGTGTGTATGTATATATATATTTTTTTAATTTTAATTTCACCCTCCCTTCAAATGATATTCGAACTCAAGTCACTAACACGATAAAGCTTCACTCTTACAATTTGAACTAGATCTTGATTATAAGAGCATTTTCAATACAAAATGCTATTCATCCCCAGTGGGGATGCATTCCCAGTCTCTGTGGATGTACATGATTGGTTAAATGATAGGTGAATTCAAAAACTCATTCTTCAAATGAATGGGTGCCAAACAAGCCCTTAATGCCACATAGACTGAGGATGCATCCCCAGTGAGGATGAATAGCATTTCTCATTTTCAATACAACAATGTGAATTATTGTACATGTGGCAAGCTAAACAAAAATGGAGTGAAGAGCTTCTTCATTGGAGATTTGGATTGCACTAATTATAGGTAACATATACTATAGAGGGGATGCACCAATGTAGAAAAAAACATGAGATAATTTATAAAATATTAATAGACACATCCTTTAATGAAAAAAAAATTATAAAAATGTTATTGTTATCCACACATTTTCGAGGGTCCTTATTTCCACAATGACAATTGAGAAAGGACCTTTAGAGGAAAGTTCCGATTCTAGTATATATATTACTCGTATTCCTTCGAAGTGAAGTCTCAACCCGTTTCACGAACAGTTCTGTTGTCTCTCTCTCTCTCTTCGAGTAGCATCAACTCACAGGGTCTATCGAGACTCTGCTTTCTCTCATATTCACCTCGATCTTGGTTTATGAGGTAAGTTCTACTGCATATCCATCTATTTTTATTTTTTTAAATGATCATTTTACTGTTTATAATTTAATTTGGCAATTTTTTTTCAGATCTGGTGTTTTTTCTTTTTAAGACGGCTGATTCATGTTTTATAGAACTCTTGAAATGTTTTGATTTCTTACTGTAGATCTAAATACGTACCTTTCGTCATATTTGTACTAAATATTGTGTTCGTTTTTTGGAAAATAATTCTCTTGTTGAGATCTGAACTGAAAATAATAGATATTTTTATTTTATTTTGATATTTATCGTGACCGGAATGCATATTAATTCTTTATTTTTGTTTTCTTGCAGCTCGAAGGAGAAACCTACTCTCGGGTAAGTGTTAAACTGTCATATGAAAGTATTTAGCCATAGTTACCGCCAATTTTGAGTAAAAGAATCAAGCGCGTGACCTTGATATTAATTTTCTTATGTTTATAAATTAAAATTTAATTTGTGATTTTGGATTCGTTTCACGTTTCTTGTTAATTTTAATGGGATTGTGTCAAGGTAATTGCGTAATGCAAATTTTAATTTTATGTAAATCATCTTGTGGCTATCGTAGGACATTAGTTTTTATTTCTATTTAATTTTGATTTTTCTTGGATTTCATATTTTTTTATTTTGATTTTCTGTTATATTGTCCAAAATAATTTGGATGTAATTACAGTGGTACGCGGATCAAGACCCGCAAACGGAACATTGCTGCACCTCTGGACCCTGCATCATTTTCCGATGCAGTGGTCCAGATTTATTTGGATAATGCTGGTGATCTGGTAATTTTCCGTCACTTTGTTTTACAGAAGTGTTTTTTTCTCCCATCTTTGACCCTCTTTTAATTGGGTGCATGCATCCACTATCAGTCGGGTGGGTGCAGGATATGCTAAGAGATAACTTGTGGAAATGTGGTGTTGTGCAGGAACTTGTTGCTAGGAGCCTTGAGTCTTCGGACCTTAATTTCTCTAGATACGGCGACACTTTTTTTGAGGTAAGCATATTCTTTTTGTTTTGTTCAGTTTCATAATTTGATAGCTTGGAATGACTAGCATACTTTTTCCTTGTTATTTAGCATTTATTATTTTTCCTCTCACATGATAAGCAAAAACAAAGAGAGTACTGTTTTTCATTCTATATATGCGCGGAAAGTTAGCTTGTCATGGACAGAAATGAAGCTGGTTTTGCACAGTGGATAGAAATATTGTTGATGCTTGCTTGTATATGACTCTAAGTTGAATAAAAATACCATAATATGTGGCCAAAAGTTCTCAAAGAATTGGCCAATTCCCTCCTATCTGGAGCTGCCTTCCAAAATTTGTTCCGGATAGCAAAATTGCTTGATAAACAGTAGAACGTCAATTTTTTCGATGAATTGTTTCCTTGATGCATCAAATTCTTGAGCATTTTGGTTCTCCACGAGCAAAATCTCCTGTTGTTCTTGCTTAAAATTACGTTTTGAATTATTTTTTGTTTCTATGTTGTATATATTTTGTAATGCATATTGCTGGATGATATGCCGCATGTGGCGACTTTTTTGACTTCTATATTTCTAGAAAATATTGTTTTAGCAATGGTGTAAGAAACATGATAATGACCCGTACTGTTGTTTTAAAACGACAATAATGCACCTTCATGATATTTGATCTGTCGGATCTGTATTAGTGCATTCTTGTTCTTGCCTTTTTTTTTTCACGTGAGCCTGTGTAATTTTTTTAATGTTGAAATGCTGGACATTCTTGGTCTCGAGGCCACTTTGCACTGTAAATTCTGATAGACATATATGTTTGTTTCATTGGTTATGCTGTCCAGTGTATGCAAAAAACGAATGTTAATTTTGTGCTGATTATAATGTGTATTGTCTTATTTATTTCGTGAGAATGCCTTGTTTTTCTGCTGTAGATTGAACTAATTTATTGAATGATAACAGGTCGTCTTCAGGGGAGCTCGTACACAACCCGGCACAATTAAACTTGATGAGGGGGAGTGTCACCCTTACTCTATAATTGACTGTGAGCCTAAACGTGAAGTCATTTTGCCATCTGTAATGTATATACAGAAGATCTTACGTAGAAAGCCATTTCTTATAAAGAATCTTGAAAATGTTATGCAAAGATTCTTGCAGTCGTTGGAACTTTTTGAGGAAAATGAAAGAAAGAAGCTTGCAATTTTCACTGCCCTTGCGTTTTCCCAGAAATTATCTGGTCTTCCTCCAGAGACTGTGTTCCATCCACTGCACAAAGATAACCTAATTGCAAAGGGGCTAGTTCTCTCATTCATCACTGATTTTTTCAAGGAATATCTGGTTGATAATAGCCTTGATGATTTGATTTCAATCCTGAAACGAGGT